CCACATACTGCCAAACCCATTATTTGTAATTATTATTTATTGTGTCTAACTCTCTCCATTTGACAACACTGCAAAGCTGTACCTCGGTTTGGAATAGGGCTACACAGATTTATGAAGTAATTTCTTCTCCATTTTACCTTACCTTATTTGTATTATCATTTGCTGCGGTTACATAAAAATTCTCTTAGTGGGGGGTGGAGTCCAACTGTGTTCACTCGGCACGGCGGCCACTGATTGGCCTATTGTACCAGCCTCGGATGATAGATGATGATGATTGTGGAGCAGTCGGTGGAATGAGAATTGGCAAGGGAAACCGAAGTACTAGGTTAAAACTTGCCCCAATGCCACTTTGTCCACCACAAATCCCACATGACCTGGGCGCGAAACCAGGCCGCCACAGTGGGAAGCCGGCGACTAACCGTCTGAGCTATAGCACGGCCTGAGCGGCCTGAGTTTCAAGTAAAGTACATGTTATATTCGACCGGTACGTCAAGATAAGTTAAAACTCTCGTGCAGTATTTCGACCGATGTCTCTTCTCTGCCGTCTGGCGTTGGCCATTATTCGACTGGCTCATGCATATTGTTTTTACATATTCGACATCAGTGGTGGCTATCAGACTCGAACCTAGAATCAGTAGGACCTTGTAACTAGCCATATCAATTTAGTGTTAGTATTTTAAGGGTTCCAGATCGATTCCCACAACTGCAAAGAACTGTGGGTTTACTAATTACCACATAAATTAAATGTAATTCAAACAATGGACAATTTCCTGCGTAATTACTCTATAATTATCAACCAATTTAACATACATTTAGACGATCTGTCTTTGATGTTCCTGCAAGTCTGCTTCTTTTTTTGTAGGAAGCCTGGCTTGTTTATAGCGTTGTACAATGGATTACATTTTGGCAAATAAAATTTGTAAGAGTGTAATGAATTGGGCGTTCAGACTAGTTTATATCAGCATCTTAGAAGTTAACTCCAGATGTTCCTGTGTTGCAGTATAACACTCTTGATCATAGCATATATTAGAGCTTGGAATTTATGCTACCAGATAGTTTACACCCCTTAATGTAAACGTGAGATTATAAAGAGATCACTGTATATTTGTAGAATACAAAGACACGTCATGCGTTTCTGGAGTCTAGGGCAGTCATTTTAGTGATCACACCCAAATATCTCAAGGCGCTGTTTTCAGTTGTACTGGCGCTTTAGGGGAAGAACCACGAACACTTGGCTGTGCGAGCAGAAGCTTTGTGAACTGAAGTACTCACTTTCTTGAATGCAATCGGTTACTCTCTAGGGCCATGCACAGACAACTCTGCTGGTGAGTGAATAGCTTGACTAAAACATAATTAATATACTAGATAATTCCTTATTTCAGAAACAACTCTCTTCAATCAGAGTTACCACTTGACCTTTTAAAATTACAGGTTTCATATCTAAGCCTTTTACCAAGCTGATTATTCTTATTTAACGTGGCTTCTATCGCACAGTGAAGTCGAATAATTTTTGCTTAATACTGTATTATAATTTTGAAATACAGCCCAAATTTCTGTGACGCGGAAATATTTATTGACTGTCTACAATTTTCAGTCGACAGAAATTATATTTAGGGAATGTGGGGTGGAAAATATACGTCTTAGTAATCACGAGAGGTTTATAGAATATGTATGTTTACAATTTAATCGAAATACATTTATAACAGATATAATGTTGTTGAGTTATTTTGAGTATAGGCATACAAACTATCGAAACATTTGGTACTCATTTGATTGTGCTGTTCACAGTCACCGCTGCAAGAACCACAGATCCAGCAATAGTCTGTATGCTTATCTAAGTACTTTCCCTTAGCCGTATAGTATATACACATGCCACGGACTGGGAAGATTATTATAAATGAGAACTCGAAGGGGATGTGGGAGGAAACGGCCGTTGCGTAATATAATTACCATTCTAGCACTTGTTTACAACGCTGGAGGAAGCTGCGAGATGCCGCACTCAGAATAGCAACTTCGTAGCTGATAGAGGAACTGCAAACGAATATGGTGGGTAACCACTCGGCAGCAGAATTCACATGAGGCTGTTGGAGGTTGGAAGTGATGAGAGTAGAGAAACCACACAGCTGGTGTGGTGACTATTACGTGTTACGTAGGGAGTAGATTAAAAAAAAGTAGAGTTATCTCTGTACTTAACTAATTAAGAACTGCGCTGTGAAGACGTATAGGGGTGTGGATGTATAGATCCACATTTTCTTGACATCGGCGCTACTAGAAGGTGTACCCTTGGGGAAGAAGCCCTAGGTACCCATTGGATACAAGACTGCGTGGGCCCCAGAGCCGGTGTGGACGATGTGGAAGAGAGATAAATCTTGTCCCTGCCGGGACTCGAAATCCGACCCCTCGGTCGTCCAGCCCATTCTTTTTATTGCTAGTGGGGTAGGACTAAATCCCTTGTACTGCGGCCACTTCTGGTCTATTGTTCCAGCCTCAGATGATAGGTAAGGGTGATTGTGGAGCAATTGGTGGAATTAAGACTGGCAGGGGAAAGCGAAGTACTCGGAGAAAACCTGCCCCAGCGTCACTTTGTCCACCACAAATCTCACATGACCAGACCCTGGATCGAACCCGGGCCGCCGCGGTGGGTAGCCAGCGACTAACCGTTTGAGCTATGGCGCGGCCCTTTCAACAACTTAATTAATGTTAAAATTCGAATGCAGTGCATAATCCCAAATTTTATAAAATATTCTATTTAACGATCGGCTAAGGAATTCGTGGATGCGATCAGTTCCAGCCGACCAAGTTGGTGGTCCAACAGTGCTTTAAATTTGCATCCGAATAGTAGGCCCTACCTACTCGTCGTTCATGAAACCTCTCGTCCAACTCACGCTCTGGAACTATTAAATTTGAAACGGCGTTGCTGAATGACCAAAAAGAAATCAGCCACGAATCTTCGTTACTACTGGATATGTATTATTATGAACATCTGGACACCTTTCATGTCTTCTTTAATATTGTAGCATGTAGAACTGTTACAAGACAACGATCCCGAAATAAGCAACTACGTAACAGCCATTGCTAAGTAACGGCTACGCAAAGAGGCATGCTTCCACGGCAATAAGAGAATGCAAAAATAATGAAATACGTTTTCTACGCGGTGCGTGTCGAGTTGTTATAAGTAGGACCAGTTAGTAGTTGTAGTCAGAGAACTGCTGGGGTTCAGTCGTTCTTAGCTGTTGTTAGAAGCTGGTGGCTGGGACCGGGAACATTTCGGGAACCCAGACGAAGGGAAAGCCCACCGTTGGAAGGCGTTACCAAGCAGCGGCAATGAATACCCGACTGTGGACACTAGTGCATGTGTAGGCGTGAACTGTAATATGTAGTCAGGCGCTCTATCAAAGAGTCAAATAAATCCGATCATCAGTCAAAAACCCGTCTCTAGTCACACGCCATCACGTGACAATATTCTTGTCACATTGGAATGCAAGTGTCTTACTTTAATTTACTGTTGCCCACGGTTATGAGAGTTTTAATTAGCAGTTCTGCAGGCCGCCCCATCTCTAATCGTTGAATGGATTGATACGTAAACATGGACTGGCTCAGAGTCACTTCGCAAGGAGTAAGTTATCAGAGAGAATGTTGTCTGTGTTCAGATTACTCTATGAGAACATCATGCTTCATGTCTAATTAAAAAAATCGCACAAGGACTACTGTACTTTGCCTATTTATATCTTAATGTAAGAAGGACAGATTTATAGTATGTATGTGAATATAATTGGGGGCACGCGGTGCCGTAGTTGGTTGAGGAACTATACTACAAACCGGAAGGTCGCGTATGAATTCATTGTTTTTTCAATTGACCTAATCCTTCCAGCCGCACTATGGCCCTGGGGTCGAATCACCTTCTAACAGAAATGAGTACCAGGAATCTTCCTGGAGGGGGGGG